GGGGTGACCCTTAAGCCCCCCCTTGACCCCTTGAAGCCCCCCGTAAGCCCCCCTTGAAGCCCCCCTTAAGCCCCCCGTTCGTCGAAGGTCTGGGGCCCAGCCCCGATTGAGAGCGCAGTGGCTGGCGGCAAAGTACTGTGGGTAGATTGGTGGCGAGGATTCAGTGGCCGGGAACAAGGTCCGGATGGCAGGTTTCTGGCAGGAAGGTTCCAGGTATGCACCATGAGCTATGCACTTGGAGCTATGTACTTCACTTTATGTACTATGCACTTGACTCGATGCACTTTGTCCAGTTGATCCTATGTACTTCTCTCTGGAAGCACAAACTTTGCTCTTACCAACAGGCACTTGCAGCAGCAGCAGCACAGTGCCAGCAGCAGTAGCAGCACCACCTGGTGCTTCTGCTGGTGTTGCTGCTGGCGCTGCTTAGATCGTCAACGCTTTAGAGCTTGGTAAAGAAGAATAAACCTTTGCCGTGGTCTGTTCTCGTTTTGCTTCAAGCTTCCAATCTTAACATGATCAATTGCAATGGTGGTCCTTCTTGATCGTAGAATTTTTAGAGAATCACAAGAAAAAGGCAAAGCGTGCAGCATCTCTGCAAGCAAAAGGAAGAGATTCTACCGACGACACAGTGATTTTAAAAATTATGCGGCTGAAAATCCACTTGCTATTTGCGCCAAACCAAATTTAAAAGGTGGCTACTGCATTTTTACCCTTTACAATTGCTGGGATTCTCCTTTCTCGAGGTCTTCGAAGTCGTCCTTTTCTTGGGTATTTGTTTCTTTTGGTTTGTTAGACTTCTTCTCGACGCTTCAAGCGATTTCGTAAAGCCGACAACAAAGATGCAGAAACCAGGTTGCAAGCTTCGAAGCAGCTGTGTTCTTGACAAAATCGAGTTTTAGTGGAGATAGTTAGTGCACCCTTGGTGGCAGCAAAAAAGGAATCCTGCTTGCTAGACAGAGTTGCTGACAAGCGGTCAGAGGGAAGGACTTGACATCCAAGGTCTCTGTGTGTGCGGAAGAAGAACGCTCGCGCAAGACTTGCAACTTCAAACATTCAGTTCAATCGAATACGAGATTGGTTTATGCTTTGTTATGTATACATCTATTGATGAAGCTCTTAAGCTCGGTTCTTGTTGAGAAGATAAGGGCAACAGATTTTTCATTTGGTGGCAAGCGAAGACATTATAGCGTTTTTGCTTGCTGGTTACGGTGACAAGAGTGCTGACAACAACAAATTTGTAGCCGCAAAAAAACGTTACTGCCATTAGCGCCGTCACAATCATGTGCTGCAAATCAATTGTATCACAGTCATTTCGTGATGCAGCAAACTGCCGTCATGGTGTCCGGTACTAGCACGCTACCTTCCACGAAGGGGCGCCCACTGTAGAGCCGAAGTTTTGCACCAGAGAAGTTCCGGGACGGCATTGCCATTGGATCGGACGCCATGACGAGGGTGACCAAATCCGCAAGCCTGCAGATCGTCAAACTTCGATTTGTGACACCAGCTATGCTCTGGGGCCTGACTTTGTCGGCTTGTCTGACAGTGTTCATGTTGGAAAAGCAGGACAATGAGTTGTTGATACATCTGATGCTGTCCTGCTCGATGTTTTGACTCTGTAGATCTCTTCGGCATCTGCAGGCCGACGCAGCGAATCTCAAGACTTGCTTTTGTGCGCCTAAAAAGTGCAAACAGGTTTGGTATCGCCTTAGTGCTGGGTCTATGGCAACGGAGGACACCAAAATTTGCACCAGAGGCGCAGGTTGATTGATTTGTCCATTCCAAGTTTACCAAGTATTGACAATCCATAATGCCACGCGACTCCGGTGAGGTGTTTTATTCCTGCATGGGCATGTGCACCACAATGCAAGTGTTGCAGTTTTTGCCTGTTCCAAGCAGTAAACAGCCCTAGCTGCTGCAACGAATCAAATCTGCTTACTGGAAAGTGTTGCATCGAAGCTACATCGAATAGTCGCACTGGGAAGATTCAATCCATGAGTCATTCCAGGAGCCACGTGATGAAGACGAGGATGTCGAAGGTGACCAGGCTGTATCGACCTTGGCTTCTGCTCGGTTTGTGAGCCAGGTGAGCGTCTTGAAGAATGCTGCTCTGTTGTCCTTGGCATTGTTAAGGACGGCACCCTGGACCCAGAGTTGCTGGCTGCATGTATGAGGCCAGATCCGAGCATGTGCAACGAAGCGAGACGTAAATGTTGGTGCGGATTGATTGTTTTCGTTCTGCCTGTCAGCTCCAAGACGTCCCAGTTTTCTTACGCAAAGATTCCGCAACAAAACACCATGTCGGGCATATGCAGTGTGTCCACCACCGCATGTGCTTTCATTGCGAACATTCGTGGTTACCCCGTCAACGAGTTCACATTCATGCTACGCTTTAAGTGTCATCACACGGTAGTCAGCATCCCCTCGACCACCACAGCCTTGGCTTTTGCGGCAGGAATGACACTGAAGCGGCTAAGCGATTGATCGAGCAGGTGCATGTAAGACGCTCGTATTTGGACTGGACATCACGGCTGCACCTAGCATGCACTTCTCTCTGGCGTCAGGGAGCGAATCCCTGCTGCGAAGACCAGCGGCAGTGGCTCGATGCGATCATGCCAAGAGCGTCGGCCGCCAGCGTGTACACGGCATGTCAAAAGGTGGAGCCCACTGATCTGGGCTGCCTCGCACGGCAACGAGGAAAGACGCTACAAAGCCTGTGACAAAAGACTCTTAGGCTGCTCTTGGCTGCCTGTGCATTTCAGGACCTGACCAGACTACTGATCAAACACAATGCCGCGGAGGCAAGAGCTCTCGCCTTGACACTTTCCGCTGCGGCGTTTATTGGAGTAGTTAGACCGAACTATTTCGTGTCTTGAGGGTGTTCACTGTCACCGACATGAAAAGAATATGTGTGCGCTTGGGGTCCCTGTACCAGAAATCGGCTTTAAGATTGCTTCTCTGTGACTCACAGCAGTTCGTGCCGTCCAGGTGTACAAATCTGATGAGACAAAGGCTCGGAAGTGCGGCGACATGCAGTTGTGTGCTGTGCATATCTGTCGCCTCCTGGTAGTGTTTGCAGGTGCGAAAGAAGCACAGCCCTCTTCATTGGGCGGCCTTTAAAGGTCATCTCAAGGCTGGAATAGTTGGCAGTGCTGGGAGGTAGATGTCGGATTGGTCGTGATGCTTGGCGCCGTGGTTCTCCAGACACGACGTAGCAACATGCAGTGATTTGTCGTGCTTCTCCATGCAGTAGCGATTGGTTGCACTGCATTCAGTTGTGTCGTGCAGTGTTTCTGCAGCATGTGCTTTCACTTCTCGCATGAGCATGAACAGATCCAGTGACTGCAAACTCAAGCCCGGGCATCAATCATGTTCCCTTTCACGAACCAGGGCGTGGAACCCCGTGAATCTCGAAGATGCAGCTTGTCAGCTCTGTCAATGCCTGTCCCACCGCCTGGCAATGGTGCAACCTTTGTGGACCACTACGAGGACACAAAAGAGCGCTTGATTGTATCTTGGGTTTCAATACAACGCAGCTTGCAGGTTCTGGGATGCACACCAGAGTCATCTGCATCGGAGCTCAAGAGGGTGCGTTGCCAAGCCAAGCTCTCGCCAAAAGTTGGTTCCACACAGCACCTGTAAACCAGGCTTACCACGAGAAGCTTCGTGAGTTTCACCCCGACAAGCGGCCTGAGAGCCGGGGTGAAACTGGTGGACGGGACGGGTCCCGAGACTTCTGAAAGAGATGCCGGATACAGGTGGCCTGCAGCTAAAGCTGCGACCGTTCTGAGGTGACACAGGCCGTGCTGGATGCCTGGACCGTGCTACAGGCCGGAGGGACACACCTGGTTCTGCCAACACAGACCGTACTCTCCAGGACGCTGAGAAGCGCAAGGCTTATGACATCATCTGGACAAAGATGAGGAGTTTGGTTTCACAGAGACAAGGGCCCTGGGTCTTTTTACGACAGCAGCCTTCCGAAATGCATAGAACCAACACAAAACATTGAGGGTGTAGGTTCGCGTGCACATTCGCGTTCGTGAACTTCTCTCAGACACCACAAGTTGCGGCTGGAAGCATTTTGGTCGGAACGAGCGGCCATGAATATTTCACGGTCGCGAAGTTAGGAATTAGCCAAGAGCTTTGGGGGTATGGGGATCAGCATCCCAAACTCTAGAAAGCTACCCTGGAGGTGTGGATGCACGTAGTTCGATGCTTTCACGACCAAGGAAGGGGACATGCTCAAGCATTTGCGTTTTTAAGTGGTGCGGACAACAGATTCACACAGACTCGCAGAGTGTACAATTATCACAACCACAGAGCGGCAGCGTCCTCCGCCCGATTAAGATTCTACAATCGCTGATCGTGCTCACCAAATCTCACACCGAATATTCGCCGTTTATCGGTCACTTTGGCGTGTACTTGTTGAGCCGGAAGGGAATGCAACCAGCATCAGTCTGTAACGGCTGATCACATTGATGTCGCTGCGGAAGACCCACGCATGTCCGAGTTCAACTTCCACATTAGACCGAAAAATCGCCGACAGGAGAGAGCAGTCTGCAGCAGAGTTCGCGGAGGCCGATTGTGCAGAGTCAAATCTCGACAGTTGCATGCCGACGAGACTTGTGCTTGTTTTTGCATTAGCATGTGTCGTATATGTCGAAACGGGTGGGTATTTTGCAAGAATGCGAGTGTGTCTGTGTGTGACCCTGCATGCATTCTTGTAAAGTTGATTGTGCCGGCTCTTGAGCATGAGCCTCGGCCCGTGGGTTTGAGCACTCGCTTGTCGCTGATACAACCGGTCCACGCAAGTATTGACTGTCGGTTACGGGTCCAAAAAGTGCCTGCAGCATTTTTCAACGCAAAGACCAGGTTGAACTGCGGCTGCATAGGGGTCAGTTGTTGCCTGGAATTCCTGCCCCAATCAAAGCTAGCCCTCTCCCTCTCCCTCTCCGTCTCCTTCTCCCACTCCCTCTCCCTCCCCCTCCTTCCCCCCTCTCCCTGCCTCTCGGATTTGGGTAGCAGGGGTCAACAGGGCATCCGGAGAAATTGCAGAATTTGCAGGGCCCTGTTTTGAGGCAAGCCACGGAATGCCAACGCAAAACACGATCCTGGAAATTGTATTTTTCTCAATAGCCTGCTGCAGCCCGCGACCAGGGAGATCCTGTGGCCTGCACAGAAGGGCAGACCGAGAACAAAAAAGGACGTGCCACACTCCAGAGACAAGGTGGCGCAGCTGCGAAAGAAAGCCCCTGTTCGTATACCGGAGTGATGTGCTCGCGAAAATGTACAAAAGGCTTCGTGCGGAGGTGCACGCAGAGCACCAGGGACATGTGGCGCTTTCACGACATTCACGGCTGTCCAACCAATATCCGGTGGCGGGTTGTGCAAAGCGGAAAGTCAGATGGGTCCCTCGAGCAACCCTGAGCCAATGCCCAGACGGGCTCAGCACCAAGTTTACCAGATACGACTGTGCTTGGTGAGGCTCGGCGAAGGGAGGGCAACGAGCTATACAAAGAAGCTCAGGCAACCTCGCGGCTTCACGATGTGCATGGTCTCAGACACAAGTGCCGAGGCGTTGTCCAAGATGTCTGGACCTGACAGCTCGCGCCTCGCAAGAGCGGTGCTTCGCAAAGCAGCTTCGTTGCTGCTGTCATCTACAGTGACCCGCTGTGTGGAATCGAGGTCTGTCGGCAGCAACGGCGGCCTTGACCAAGTACCAGGTGCCCAAGTTCAAGTCTTTCGCGACGCAGCATGTGCATCGGCGGTGTGTCACGGTCTGCAGGCAGCCATTGAAAGATACTCTGAAGGCATTTCTTTGGCTCCTCAGGATGGGAGAATGCATCATCAGTTGAGCAACAAAGCCTTGTGCCGTGGCAGGATCACCGTCTCCGCAGCAACCGTGCGTTGTGTTACAGTGCACTGAAGGCCCTGTGAATGTCTCGCCAAAGGATGTCGAATGTTGTTTGAAGTCTGAGCAGAACTATGTTGTCGCGACAGGATCAATCCCACGAAGAGAGTCCTTTCCAGTCTATGCAAAGCAGTGATCTCAAGCCGTCTTCGGATATGTGGTAGCCGGAGCAAGCCGATTGCAGGTTCCGGAGTCATCCGAAACGTAAGACTTGGCCACTCTAAACGAGTCATGGGTGCAAGCTTGAAGCCTTCGAATCTCCGGTAGACGGTATTTCTCATGAATCATTGCCTCGTTTTACGATGTGACAGGCTGACAGCAGAATCTTGAGTGTCTCTCTCTTCAGGCCGCAATGGCTTCAGCTCTCACATTAATGTCGAAATCCCTTGGCACGGCAATGTCCTTGCACTGCTTGAGGCAAGATCGAGACTAAAGGCAGTTCAAGCCTTTTTAAACTTTTCACTGTTGCGGCTTTCGCTGGACAGTCCGTGTCCTTGTCGTTCATTTGCACGAAAAGTCTTTGCAGAATCGGCTGCAAATGGAGGAGGTACGGTAGCAAAAACTCCGAGAGAGGCTACAATTTGACATGTGTGCTGAGTCGGAGAGGAAATCACATCATTTAAAGACAAGCCAAGTAGCTAGAAAGAAAGGTGGCCCTCAGGAGCGATTTTCAACTCGATTGGACTCAAAAGACGCACAAAAGCCAGACAGCATCTCCGAAAAGTAAGCCATGCCTGCTTTGGAATCCCAGAGCTTAGGGAACAGCATTAAGACGAGCAGCACTTGTAGCCTCGTACAATACGATGAATTTGTGCCTTCTCATCGCTTGCTCGCCGCCCCCCCCCAAAGGTGCACTTTAATTTTGGGGTCGGAACGCCCCAACTTGGAAGCTTAGTCTTGGTGCTGTCAATGTCGCTAGTACAGAAGGGTTCCGAACGGGGAGGAATGACATAGTCTGCCTGATACAGAACTCATTCGCAGCGATTGCATCGCTTGCCAGGATTGGGCAAAATGCAGAGAGGCCCCGTTTTTCTCACGGAAAGGAGGCCGACTGCAGACTGCAGTTTCTCAGTTTGAGGACGCGGTGATTGTGGTGGAGCTGAAACCTGACTTCATGAAGGGCCCGGGCCTGACAGAGAAGCGAAGCGAAGCAGGAAAAAGGCCCTTCCGTCTCCCCCCTTCTCCTCTCAGTGAGTTGATGTGAGTTGTGGTGTATCAAGGATGGTTCCTGCTTGCCAAAGCGCTTTGGAAAGAGGGAAACGCGGTCCTGGCGCTGTCCTCAAGTGTTTGGTGCATCTCATATTGCGGAGCTTCTTCCAGAGGCGCAACGACAGCTTGACGCGGCTTTGCAGGTGGCGTATCGCCGTTTCAGCAAAGCTGTGCGCTGCATGAGCAGTACAACATGCAGGCTTTGCCAGGTTGCGCCGAACTGTGTTCAGCTCAGATCACGCATGATAGTTGAAGGAGGAGGATGATCGGGAAGTTTGGCCAAGGCTTGCTTTGCAGGACGAGATGGCGGCGGACGTTCAGGCGTGACAGTGATGTGAATCGAAAAGCGGAGCTTTCAAGTGCCGTTGCAAGCTGCAAGCAGGCAGCAGCTGGCGGCGATCTGCTGCCACCAGTCCAGCGCTCCAGCAAACAACTCAGAGCAGAAAAGATCGCAAGCTCAATCGTACTTTAGCTGATGCCGGTTGTGTTTAAATGCCATTCTTGCAAAGTGCACCTTTTCTGTCCGTCCTTAGGAAGTAGCCGAAGTGTCTCGCCTGCTTGCACGCCGGTACAAGGCGGGATGATTTGCGAGGGCAATTTCCATTCTGTCGGGGTAACCATAAGCCTATCATAAGCTGCAGCTATGACAGGCGGTTAAGATATGCAGTAGGCACCAAGCGCAGGGATCGTTGATCGTTTCGGAATCCTGCCGGTTGCAACAAGGCTTTGCCGCAAAGGTCAGTGACGAATTCAAGTGTACCCGCAGCCGGTCGTTCGAAGGATGGTGAAGTCAACTCCAGTGGCATCTTGACCTGCATACAGATTTGCACCCACGAGCAGAACGACCACGTTCGAGCCGAAGCCTCCAAGGAAGCCAGCCGAGAAAAGAAGTCAACAAGGAAGCAGAAAAGATCGTAATCCTTCCCTGCGGGTGCATTTAAGTGCTTGCACCGAGAAGCAATCACCTGCTCCGTGTCTAAATGGTCGCCTCGTCAAACCCTGCAGTGGGATGTAATCAAAATGTTGACCATGAATACAGTGCGGTATGCTGCTCAGTCATGTTTGAATGTTGAGCAGGCAACTCCAGATCAAACTCTCGCGTAGCCACTCCGCCTCCTGTACGTGGAGCCTCCAAGTCGCAGGGGCCTCTGTTGACAGTTCGTTGGAACAAGTGTTGGAACACTGTTGAAACGGCTGATGGTAGGGTGACTTCGGTTTTCTGAAGGTCGACCGGTGCCAGTGCACGGCACCGATCTTCGTCTCGCCCACGCCACCGGAGTGCGACGATCAGTCGGTGAAAGCCAGCTGGTTCAGACAACTGAAGCCCTGAAGCTTTTCAGGCACAGATTGGGAGGAGACCGCGAAGTTTGGTGAGGATGCCGAGAGGCGCCAGTCACGAGGGGCTGACCTTTGCTTTTGGAATTCCGGCCAGAAAGGACGGCTCATTTTGGCGAGTTCGACGTCTCGCACTCTGCCTATTCACAGTCCGGTCCCGCCAAGCGCTTAGGTGCAGCGGGAGGTAATGGGCAAGCACATGCCAGAAGTGCAGTGCAAGACACCGCAAGAGACACCGCAGGGCCGCTCCACCAGCCCCATTCGACCGCCTGCCGGGCCGCCCGAATCTGAGGGGGGTGGACAGCTGTGAAAGTCCTTGCAAAGCTTCTGGCCGAGGCCTCCGGCTCCACCCGGAGCACCCGGAGCACCAGCAGCGCAGACCGCTCGGCAACGCCGCGCTGACCCGCGCCTCGTTCTGAGTTGCTTTGCCCAGGCCACCACCGCCTCCGCCCCGCGACGCTTCTCATGGACGCACAAAGGGGTCCTCCCTTGCTGGCATGGTTCTGGGTCTCAGACCTTCTGCTTTGTGTGACGTCGTGGTATTTCGTGGTCTTGCTGTTTTTTGCTGATAGAGCTAAGCTGAGTCAAAGGCGGCCTCCAGTCGGCTTGGAGTTCCTGGAGGTTGATGTTCCCTTGCCGTGGCATGGCTTCATTGTACAAATGTTTCTACATCCCACGGCCAAGGCTTCTCCGATAGAAAGCTGCCTCAAGCCGCTGTTGCAAACTAGGCATCTTTTTGCTTGTTTGTTTGGCTTGTATCGTGTCTGACTGAACAATTGTGTGATGCCTCGGTGTTCTGCTGTTTGCTGAACTCAGAATCATATTGCGGCTCACTGCCGCATCAGCTCCGATCCTGCGATGAAGTGCAAAGCGCTTTCGCAGCAACTTTTCACAAGAAGGTTATCCCACATTACTCCCCTAGCACATGGGCGGAATCTTCGCAGGTAGTGCTGGTTGATCACAGCTGCCATGCGAGAATGGGTCGGCATCTGGTGACGAAATGCAGCCAGCGTCTGCAGTGTCTCCCGCATCAATTGACGCATGCAGCACCAATTCCAAGCACGGGAGGTCTTGTGGCTGCTGATGGCGCCACCGCAAAACCTGTCACATCACGAACGGGACCTGCCGCATCCATTGCAACACACAAGCGAGGTATTTTGCAGAAGCTTCGCAATGTCAGGACGCCATAGGCAATACGCCTCTACATCAGGCAGCAGCAGGAGGAAACCTGGAGCTGCAGCCTGAATCGCTGTTTCCACTTTTCAGCACACGAAAGCGTCTACGCAATGCCAATGCCAGAGAGGTGCGCGAAATGCCTCATGGCACAGGCCGGCTTTCGGCTTCTTCAGCCGACCCCATGTGCCTCAGCCCCTTTGGCCCCCGCTCTTCAGGGTTGCGACGTCCTCGCCAAGAATGACCGAGGGCATACCCCCTTTGCGTTGTGCACAGATCCAGACGTGCGCCCCAACAAGACCACCAGTCTATCGTGTGTCTTTTTCCACATCTGTTTATTGTCTGGGCAGCTCGGCACCGCAGCACTCCTGGCTCCTTGGCTGTCACATCGAAAGCTCCTGCGGGAACAGAAATCAATATGCCAGGTACAGCAACTTTTGCAGAATGCGATGAATGCCACAGCCTGCAAGGCAGCATGGAGTGATTGGACAGGGCTTGTCTGCTTTTTTAGTGGGCATTTGACACCTGACTTTTGTCCGAGAGTGTACTTCACTGCAGATGCTTCATCTCAGTCACGGTTCAGCACAAGCAATCTTCAGTATGCTTTTTTTGGATGGTAGATTCGCAACAAACTGTTCGTTTCAGTCAGAAGTACTTGCACCTCTACCACACCATGCCACGGCCAAATCAAAGCAAACTTCTTCACGTGCTTTGCTTAAGAGGATTTCATCTGAGAATCTCCGCTCCGCTCCGGTTTTTCCGTACTTCGTGCCAGGCCGTTGCGATTGGTGAATTCTCCGTAAATCCGTAGACACTCGAATGCCTTCTCGTCTCACGCCTTGTGAGTGGCTCACGACGCCCTTGGATCTTCGACACGGTCGAAGATTCATTTGTCTTTTGCTTGGCCGCTCTTAGGATGTGCCTGTCGCAACTTCTCGGATCTTCTCGGACGCAGAAGGAATGAGCGATCCGTTGGCATCGTTGCAATCCATTTGTCTATCTTGGAATCTTGGATGTCACAATGGCCGTTTAGAGTCATGATCAGTCCGGAATCCTGTTGTTTCTGCTCATCCGCCTGAGCATGCCTGAGCCAGTTGACAAACGTTGTTGTTGAGATGCATGTCAGCGAGAAATCGGGAGGGGATGTCCTTGCGGGCATCGAACAGGAACCACCAGCTTGCGTGCAGAGGCTTCTGGGAAGCAGTTTTCTTCCACGGTGCTGAGATACTTGTGCTCATGGTCCAGCGCCTAGAAACCTACCACATCGGAGGCACGAAAGCGCCTCGTCAGTCCCAGCAGTGAACAAAGGTCCTTGGATGTGTTCTGCGAGAAGGAGATCACACAGACGTTTGTGGAGAACTCAGAAGCTGATTTTTCTTATTCTGGAGGTCCTTAACATGTACCGAAAGATTCCTTGGGGCCATCTTCGTGGCATGGCTTTTTCACCTCGAAGCGAGGTTTTTGAGCACCCCGAAGCAAGCGAGAAGGCAGGCGAAGCTGTGTCCTCCCCTCAGTGGACTGTTGGCTCCTTTCGAAAGGAGAAGCCGGTGACCTGGTGCAATGAGGCGAGCACTGCCTAGCTCAGCTGAAAGCATGAACCCGGAACATGCGATTTGTTCCTCTTCGAAAGGTCAGAACGACCATCCAGGAGCTGGAGCATCAGCTAACCAATGCATCTCGACATGAGCGCAGAAGACAATAGGACGACATGTGCTGACGCTGGTAACAGCCAGGCTATGCACCTTAATCAGCTCGAGACGGTCACTGCCGCATTGGAAGCTGCTGCTGCATCTCCGCCATGTTGCAAGGGCTGCCCCTGCAGGGCCCAGTCACTGAGCGCTTTCTTGTCGCGACTTGGCAGGACAAGCCTGTCGATTGCAAGCTGGTGCACCAGTGTAACCAGCTGAAGGACGCACTAGACTTTCGTGAGAGCTGTGCAGTGTAACTGTGGCGATGCACGGCCAAAGCCTGCAGGAGAAACTTGAGTCGGAAATACAGCTAGGGAAAGCGATGCAGGTGACAGCTGCGAGCTTATGCCGTGATGCTGTCGCAGAGGGAATCTGTGCATGTTTCTGGTCACTCTTGTTGGTCACATCCTTCAGAGCATACGATAAGGCCGACCAGGCTGAGATCTAGAAGCTTCAATCAGCCTTGTGGCACATCCTACCGTACTCGTAACTTCATTCACTTGTCCATCTGTCGTTGGGCTTCAATCTTTCGCAAGTAGTATGCCTCGCTCCACGTTCCTGCACTCCCACCGACCTCTTGTCAATGCGAAGCCTCGCCTTTGTGCCTGCCACTGGACTCTGTGCCAAGAGCAACCTGTCGGACAGCAACAGATCACTGAGGGAATGGTGCCGAAGGCAACATGATGTGCTACCGAAAGGGATTTCAGGTGCCTGTCGTCTTAAGCTTTCTGTGCGCTGAGACCATCACCGACTTGGACGAGTTTGACAGCGTGCACGATGCGTTGAGCAAGGCTTTACTTCGTACTTGTTTGTGCTATGTGGCGCTATTTCCGTTATGTGATCTATGTGCAGCGACAGAGAGTTTCTGGAGGCCATCGACGATGCAGTCGCAAAGAAAGCGGACCCAGTGCGAGTTCTGGCCTAAGCGCCGGACAGGAAGGGATCGCATGGTCTGGCCGCAACACTATGGTTGCTCAGGTCCAAGCTGCAAAAACCTTGCGGCGGAAGCTTCTGGCAGAAGTACGGTCCCCTGTTCCGGTGATGCCCAACTGTACCAACTGTTCGAGAAGTTTTGTCGACTTTTTTTTGGCATTGAGCTGTTGGGCTTCTTGTCTTCTTCTGTCTCTTCGGGTGTCTTTCCAGCGACCCAGTTTTCCTTGACGTTAGTGTCGAAGAGGCCGAGAATCCGAGAGATGTGTTGTGCTCAAAGGAGTGGAATAGTTCTGAAGATTAGAGGTTCAAGAGCACCGCATAAGAAGTTGGGCTACGTTTCTTGACATGGCCGTAATCGCTGAGAAAAGCTGGTTGCAGTAGCAGACGAGTGTGGGTGAACATCTCCTCGTGGAGTAGCAAGAAAACCATAGACTATAGCTGAACCTTAACTTAGCATTATCAAGTGCAAGGAGAGGGGAGGCGATGGGAAAGGGCAGTAGACTCTTTCAATGCTGGAGGAGCTTCGGCGAGGCCGTTGCCTCTCGCATTGTGTTCATGCTTGTTTTCGATCGTTCCCTCTCCCTCGCTGTCTCTCGCTTCCTGTCGCTCTTTTTTTCTCTCTCTCTCTCTCTCTCTCTCGCTCCCTTGCTCTCTCTCTCTCTCTCGCTCTCTGTCGCTCTCTCTCTGTCTCTCTCTGTCTCTCTCTGTCTCTCTCTGTCTCTCTCTGTCTCTCTCTGTCTCTCTCTGTCTCTCTCTGTCTCTCTCTGCCTCTCTCTGTCCCTCTCTGTCTCTCTCTGTCTCTCTCTGTCTCTCTCTGTCTCTCTGTCTCTCTCTCCTCTCCTCTCTCTCTCTCTCTGAGAGATAGAAAAATGATGCTCTCTCCATGTCTATTTTTCCTCTGGCAGCGT